GGGGGCTCGGGCCTGCCGGCTCCAGAGACTGCCGGTCCCGTCTGCCAGCTCCTGCCCGCCCCAGCCGTCCCGGTTCCCAGCCTCCCTCCCCAGCCTCCCGGCCCAGCTCCAGGCGCCCCTGCCCACTCACCATTCCCTGGAGCTCAGGAGCCAGGCCTGCTCCCTCAGGGTCTTCAGACCTGCACAGCAGACCACCCGGACTCCGAAGCTTGAGAGCGAAGCCTGGAGACAAAYGGCAGAAATGGAGGACTCCGGGACGCGGCCCCTCCGTCGGGGGAAAGGAGGACGGCCGATCCGGGCGCCTCCTCCAATCCCACAGCAGGGCAGGTTTCGCGACCTCTAGGAGCCAATCGTCTGAGGTTAAAGTGAAGCTGGCGGGAGGCAGTCTGGAAGGACCTCCGTCCCTAGGGGAAGGGGCCTCCGGATTGGGGGAATCCTGCCCTGAAGCCCTGGCCTCTGGGTTTCCTGGCCTCGCTGACCTCAATCAGCGAGAAGGCGGTTTCTCCAGCTGCCCGCTAGGGCAGAGCCCCATCCTGCAGGTGCTCCCGTCAGGGTGTCTGAGCTGCTCCTAGCTGCAAGCTGCAAACCGAAAGTGACTCGGACGCAGGGGCAAAGGACCCGATGGCGAAAGCCCGCCCCCTCCTCCCTGGCTGCACCCAGGATTGGACAGTTCTCACTCAGTGCTCCTGGACGGACAGGGCTTCAGGCCTGAGGGTCCCTTGAGTCTGAGCCCAGTAACCTTCTTTYTGAGTAAAGGAAATAATACCCAATCCAGTCACGAATCAGGCCAGAATGACAGATTCCTGGTGGCAGCTTTTTTTTTTTCTTTTTCCTTTTGAAGTCTGGTAATTACACCTCAGAGCCTCAGGCTGCTGCTATTTTATGGCAAGATTTCCTTCAAAAGTAGGATCTAGACCAACCAGCAGAACATTTGCATGTAAGGTCATTTCAGTTTATGGATTATACATGCCTTTATATTATTCATGAATGAAAATAATGCAATGACAATTACTATAAAATTTCTTTTAACTTTTCTGCCCTTTGTTCTTGTTAGGAGACAGATTGAACTTTGAACTGGGAAGAAACCCCCTAAAATAACAATGTCCAATGAAAACAACATGTAAGGCACAAGGGTAATTTAAATATTTCTAGTATTCACATTAATAATGTTAAAAATGACAGTTGAAATTGATATAATAACATAATTCAGAATATCCAGATTATTATCTTTCTGTGACTAACCTAATAGAATACTACTAATGAAGTATGTGTGCTTTTGGAACTACATCCTCAAGTTTGACTCTCTCCATAATATCTCAGTTCACAGGAACCACATTCCAGATTTGAGAGCTATGGGTCCCCTAATATCAGSGACTTTATGGGCATGGTCTATCTCTTTATATGCTAGAGTTGAGCGGTCCACTATCCCACTAATGTTTCTCCTCAAGCCCCAAAATTAGRAGAAACAATGCCCTGAGTGGGAGCAGGAAGCTCCAACCAGGAAGTGTCCAAAAGTAGATCATTCTTTCTCACTTCATACTGGTCTCAGGTTCTTCCCATTGTAGGTATTGGACAGCAAGAAAAGGAAGATGGGGTCACAAGAGGTTAGGAACACATAGCCTGTAATCTGCAGCAGTCTTGACTCTATTGTTTAAATAAATCAAATGCAAACATATTTAGCAGTTTGAGTTTATACCTAGTGACCAGGCTACAGCTAATATATGTTTCCTCCTATGGACAGACTCTCATAACTAATAAGCAAGTGGGCCGGGAGTCAGGATGAGCTGTGTCTGATTCCAAAGCCGAAACACCTCCAACAGATCACAAGACTCTTGCAACATTCCTTATTCTCATCAGACTTGGAAAGTGACAATTATTCAAAAGAGCAGGCTTTGTGATATATGTATATAAAATGCAGACCTGCATATTACATAGTGCCACACAAACAGAACATTCTCATAGATCTCTGTTATCTTGGGGCTCCCATTCCAGGCTCCATGGAATCATGTTTCAGTTTACCTCAAAGGCAAACACCAGCTAGAATTTAATTCAACACCCTTTACAATTGAAAATATAGGTTGATATGGAACATATGATATGTTTAATCAGGGTTTATAAATTATAGAATAGTCTGATCTAGAGGTATGTAAAGGACCACTAAGCTCTATATTTTCAAAGCAAAGAGGGACTGCAGCACATTTCTTTTGTTGATGGCATAGTGCAAAAGGAGGCCAAGGATGACATATAATTATTGGCAGTACACGAAAGATCAGAGAATTGGAATCTAGAGGTCAGACCAGGAAGATTTGAAATATTGTAYTGGGGCACGTGAAGGACATGAGTGCCCATGATAAATAGGTTATAAACTTCTGAAAGATGATTGATATGGTGTCAGAGATGGTTTAGCAGTATCTACACAACAACTTCAAGGTGTTTTGCCAGCTGTGGAAGCACAGCACTGACTTATATCAAGAGCCCCATGAAGCCATTATCCACCTGAGACCTCTAAAACATTCCAATTGTAGAGATGAGAGAACACAGGCTTCTAGGTATCAAATGGCTTATCAGCAAGCAGCTTGTGTCAGAAYTGAGAGCTGGCCAGGGAAGAACTGCATGAAATTCTTTCTAAGCTTCTCAGTCTGGTTTGCTACTGATATATAGAGAAATATTATTGCTTCTTCATTTTAAACAGCGAGCCTAGTGAGGATGTCCTAAGAGGTCCCTCTGACTTGAGAGACTATGGTTTATCCTGTTTTCATGTTAAGGGAAGTCTTTAGTGTCAGAGCTATGTCAACCCAGGTTCCTCATTGGGGAAATTGCAAGAGTGCACAACACAGGCCCCAAAATCTGGGTTGACTCAGGGAAGAAAAAAATCTAAATGGTTGATAAATCATTTAGTTGAGTTACCAACTTGAGGTAACTCAAATTTACAGTTGGGAAATTGGAAAAAAAATAACAGTGTGATTTATTTGCCACAGGGAAAAGAGATTAACCAAGAAAAATAATTGTTTAAATGCCAACACCCAGGGAGCCTGGCTGCAGAGAAGCAGCTACACCCAGAGATTTCTTGTGGCAATGTAACTTCAGCAGCTCTTCTGTGCTGTTAAAATGTTCCATGTGCATATCCCTTCACTCAGTATTCCCTTTCCAGGGAGTCTGCCTTCAGCAGGAGACTAGTTATGTTCTTAGCTGAATTGTGTCTCCTCCCCAAGTCTCATATAGTGTGGTTCCAAATACCAAGTGCCTCAGACTGTGAATCTATTTAAACATATAATTTTTAAAGACATGATTAATGTGAAAAAACAGCCTCTACCTCAGGCAAAGACTATCCAAGGAAGGGACATGACCTTTGTCCTTGGAAAGACCCACAGAGCACTCCTAGGCACATACCCACCCTGCTGAGTTGTTTATCTACAAATAACAGGAGAGATCTGCAGCACCAGGTGTCCCTGACTCAGGCTAGGTGAGGGCCCATAGCAACCCTCCAGCAACCACCAATCAGCATGAGACAGGGAAATACCTGGGATTCCAGTAGTTTATGGTGGTTGATAACATGTTGGGAAACCTGTAGTTCAGCAAGTCCTCCCCTCATGGCCTAAAACAATCAGTTCAAACGAATCCCCCTCTTTTAGTAACCAATCACCCTTACCCAACTTGTTCCCACCAGTGAATGTGCTAATCATGTTTTAGAGTTGTTTTATGATTTTCCCGCAGTGTGTGATGATTTGCTAAGAGATGCTATGATGTATGTGAAGTCCCTGCCTTCCCCCAGAGAGTGTATAAAACTGCTGCAAACCCTGGGCTCGGGGCCTCTCAGCGTCACCAGTTGTTGTGTGTGCAGAGGACTGAGCTAGCTCGCAATAAACGCCTCTTTGCTGCTTACATCGATCTTGGTCTCTGGTGGTCTTTTGGGGGTCCCGAATCCGAGCATTATAATGTTAATCCAGTTAATTGGTGTAAAGTCTAATCCAGTTAAGTTTTTCTCCTTATAAAAAGCAACACTAAGGACACAGAGAAGCACAGAAAAATGTCATGCAAACRTAGAGACAGAAGATAGCAATAGACATGTCACAGAGTGGAGCTCAAAGGAAATCATTCCAGCAGGCACCTTGATATGGAGAMTATGGAATTAGCTCAAATAAATTTCTGTTTCACCTCATCTGTTGCATTGCCATGACAGACTAATGGTACTGATACAATCCACTAGGACATGTATACTCTGTCCCTGCAGCGTGGCTGAATGAAGCTATAATGGAATCACATCACATTCCACCAGCAATGGAAAGGCTAAACTGCTGCAAGAAATGACATTTTTACTGGAGTATTATGAAGGCATCTGAGAACATACTCCTTATCTGATGGGGCTATAGAGTGCCACAGTCTGGCTGGGCATAAATAACCAAGCCGCCACAAAGCCTTGTAGGTTCAAACAGCAACTCTTTATTCCCCAACTCTCACCAGCACTCTACACACACTTCCCAGGAACACACTCTCTCCACCGGGCTCCACGCGCCAATTCTTTGGAACCCCGGGAGAACTCAATGGGAACTCCAAAGTAGCTGGGCGCCGGAGGCAGGGGGATCCACCCTAATCCCAGAGCCACCCTAATCCCAGAGCAGGGTCACCTTTCAACCATTCCCTCTAACAAAATGCCAGGCGTCATTCCGACTAAACTGTGGCTCTTAACAATAGAGAATTGTTTTGTGGTTTAGTAAAATTATGAAAAACATGTAGACTCCTTTTACCTCATTTGTTTGTGAAATCCTCTCTCTTCTTTGTGTCAATACTTCCCTGGTAAAGTAGTTAGTTTTTAAGCCTTGTAAAAGAAGTAGAAGTATAGTTATGACTGGTACATGGGCTACCTGGGGCAGATAGCTAAAACAAAAACAGTAGCATCAGAAAATAAATATTTAGTGCACAGTAAACATTGAAAATGATGTGGAAATAGTTTCTCTGTTATTTCCACAAGTATGTAATCTGGAGAGTTACACCTATTAGGTTGCCAGGGGAAGTAATACAGTTTAGATTTCTTGGGAAATTGGAATGGAGGTCATTCAAGTGGTAAATTCCTGGTACAGGGTTTAGGGGAGTCTCTATACTTGAGTATTTGTCCTGGACCTATCTTGGCTATCTCCAATTCCTGGCTGTGGAGATCCTTCCCCAGAAATCTAATCTAACCTTAGACCAGAGATATTATCGGTTGTGTAGTGCACTGTTCTTTCCCTAGGAGACAAAATGAATAAGTAGCTCCAGGATGATCTGCATAGAAGTCTGCAAAGAGATTATTTTACATGTAGGAAAATAATTAACTCTGGTCATCCTGGCTGCCTCCACAGAGAGCACTCCCATTGAAATTTTTTATACCTAGATTAGCTATATATGAACATAGCCTCCATACATTGGTGACACTGGGTTATAGTGTTACTTGATTTCCATTACAATGCTAGAGGAGAAGCCAGAAGTAAAATATCCACTTGTGAATATTCACTCTGGATTGTAAACTCACTGAGATCAGGGTCAGTGCTCAATACCTAAGCAACATTGGCACATTCAGTCCCAT